CCTGCTTCTTTCTATACACTGTGAAATTTCTAAACCGCAGCAGCTGAGGGCTTAAAATGGCCGACAGACCCCCAGCTGGCAGCAATTAAGTGCACCACAGCCCTTCGGCTAAACAAAGGTTTGTGGAGGCACAGTTGCTGCATATGCACTAAGCAGACGGCTGTAAAGTCTCTTTTGTGTTGAGTGTTAGTGAGAGACGCTGTCAGCTAATGAGAGGTGAGTGGGTGGAGTTTCGCCACCTCTTGTTTAATGATGCGTTATCCCCGGGATGGTGGTCCCAAGGCCCTGCCCAAGAGGCAGCAGGTCTTGACAGTGAAGGTGATCTTGAGAGAAGGAGCAAGGCAAGCAGAGGAAGCCAGAGGATAGTCTGAGGACGGTCCAGCAGTGACAGGCAGGAGCAGCATGGAAGCTGATCTTTCTGCTCTGGTGCCTGTGGGCAGGCTCCACGTCTGCGCCACTTTTTAATGGACTCCATTATGCTGTAGGTTGAAAGGGGAAGGTGGGCATGAGAAGACAAAGTGCTATTTTAGGGCTTCCCTGCTGGCTCAGTGGTTGAGAGTCCGCCTGCCGATGCAGGGGACACGGGTTCGTGCCCCGGTCCGGGAAGCTCCCACATGCCGCGGAGCGGCTGGGCCCGTGAACCATGGCCGCTGGGCCTGCGCATCCAGAGCCTGTGCTCCGCGTACGGGAGAGGCCACAACAGTGAAGGAGGCCCGCGTACCGCAAACAAACAAACAAAAGAATGCTATTTTATACGCATTCAAGCAGCAAAAATTTAAGGGGCTAGACCAGTGCTATCTAATACACAATTTAAATTTGAGTTAATTTAAATGGAAAAATTTAAATTCGGCTCCTTAGTCACACTGGCCACATTTCAAGTGTTAGTAGCTATGCATGGCCAGTGGCTGTGGACCGGACAGTGCTGTCCTGGGCAGTACCAAGTGTTGGAAGGTGTACAGTTTACCAGGCTCTCTGAAGTACATTGTTGGTGGGTGTGTAAACTGGTTCAGCCTCTCTGAAAACAACCTGAGTTATCTTGTTAGGTGAACATTCATGCCCTGTGTGTGTGTGTCCAGCAAACATCTAGATATATACCCAAAGAAACTCTTGCCCAGGGTCACCAGGAGACAGGTAGAGGAATGTACGTAGCAGCATTGTTTGTAATAGCAAAACCTGGAAATGGTCCGTGTGCCATCAACAGGAAGCTGGGTGAATGATGGTATATTCATACAGTGGAATAATTATAAGCCGGTACAATTAATGAATTGTAGCTGCACACAAAAGAATGATTGAATCTTAGCAATATGGCTTCAAGGAGGAAGAAGTAAGTCCCAAAACATAAAAAGGCAGTGCCATCCTTTTTCAGAAGCCCAAAACAATGAAAACCAGAGAATGTAACAGGACTGCTATACCAGAACATACTTTGAAATGTGGTAAGACTACGTGCAGAAGAAAAGTAAAGGAACGATAAGTACAAGATTCAGAGCAGTGGCCATCTCAGAAGAGGAAGAAGAAAGAGGAACAGGGAGTGGGAGGGGGCAGCAGAGGACCACACAGATAAGATTCAAGCTACGGTCAGACAGTGGGGTTTTCGTGCTAGGGATAGTGGTTTCAAAGATGTTTATTATATCATTTAAAACAGATAAAAGGCCAGTGATGATAGTGGGCCCTAAACGGAAGGTAATGATGCATCTAGTCCTAAAGTCCAGTTTACAACAAAAATGAATCGAGTCCTTTCCTTCCAAATGCCCATAGGCTCACTTGAACATACGTGAAAGTGACTTAAGAACAGTCACTTAACAGCTGTTTTTCAGATACCAACGTTGTGTTACTGAATCCCAGAGTGAACAAATTTAGGGTTACCACCACGTACAGCCACACTGGTTTCAAAGGGTTACTTGAATTTTCAGTGCCATCGCCAATATATGAAGACAACAGCCCCATCACACAGTGGCCTGCACTGAAGAATATCACCTTAAACCTTCTGCTGGCTTAAGTTTGGGACTAAATTTGTTCACATACAAATGGTTTTAACCCACACGCTCCCCAGCCTGTCAACTTGGACCTCAGAATTTAACATTTTAGTTGAGTTTTGGAGGAGCAAGAATAGTTTTTCGGATTCCAACAATGATAAGGGAGTAGGGGATTACTATGGGGAGAATTCCTTTAACCCAGCTCTCTGTTTCTAGTGAGAGTATGTCTAAATCACCCCTCCTAGAAGTATTCCCTATATTTATAAGGCCACGAGAGAGACTTCGTTTCCTCCCACGGCAAAGTTGAGCTCGCTCGCTCTCCTGTATCTGTGTGAACCGTGAGCCTTGAATGCCGCGCTGAGCTCCTCCAAGCAGCAGGATCTGAACACTATATCCAACCTTCCCTTGGTGTGTGGCTGATCACGGATGGAGGACCTTGGAAGTGGGAAGATAGTTTGCAGTCAGTTGGGGAGGCAGATAAGCAAGTATTTTATCTAAGTGTGATGTGAAGCAAATGTGTTTTGAGCACATGACCGAATCTGACTTGTTTTTGAAAGGGTCATTCTCGTTCCTGTGAGGAGAGTGGACAGGAGTGGAAACAGAAAGAATAAGTTATAAGACTATAGTAACAATCCGTTACAAATCCAGAGATCATTTGTCAGTTATGAGAGACCTGGAGAAATAGCGAGATTTGGGATGCATGTGGAAGCTCCCAGTAGATCGGGGAGTCAGGATGAAACATTACGTTGAAAAACGAGGAGCAGGCCTGTCGCATCTTCCTGGAGCCTTTGGGCTTCTGCCACAGTGCCCGAACCCCTTTCAGGAGCTTCAGGGGTGCCTTGGGGAAAAGATACTTTTTTAGCCTGTCCTGGACAGTGTTTGAAATGACAGTCGATGTTTCACTGGGCAAGGAGATAAGAACAGGAAAAGTACACCACGCTCCTTCCCCTGGGTTTCTCTCACTCACAGTGTTTTCCAGCATCCTTACACCAGCAGTTGTCAAGCTGTCCCTATGAGGGGTGAACTCTGTGAGCGGCTCCCGACACTGCCCTCCGTATTTTCAACCAGTAGTTGTGATCTAAATAGCCAGCAGTGGGCCTCAGTCCTGAAGAAGGAATTGAGACTGTGCCCAGCAGGAA